GTGTTCGAGGGCAAGAATAATATTTTATAAAGTGAGAAAAGATGTAAACCTTTTAACTTCATAGGCTCTTTTGTAACCATTATTAAAACTCGATATGGCACTTTCAATATACTTTTATTGTACCAACTACGCTTATAAATGCATTAGTCGAGTTGAGATAAAAAAGAGGTTATTTGGGTACGCAAGAAACACAGTTACAGTGTATGGATATGTTTTGCTTTAATAGGTCACCAAGCTTAGATGGTGTAAGAGTAAATTTGTCTGACTAAATTCTTAGCATAATTTTATTTTGAAAAAACAGAAAGAGTGAGCAGAGCGATTGTCATGTGATTCCCGTGTTAGCGCTGTCGCAAAAAACGACAACTGACCCCTAGCTCGCGCCAACACCCGCGTAGCGCACTGTTCTTTTTGCTGGGCAGTCGTCCCGCCATACGCATATTAAACGCTCCTTTAAAACCTTCACCCCCGTCTCCCATTTCGAGTCCCTAACATATCAGAAGTTGGATGGACCAAGCCTGATCCAACGACCACGACCTAGCACAAGTCGACCCCTGTGGCCACGAATCGTCACAGCAGCTACACCGACCAGCACCTCGGCATGGACGAGGAAGGGTGGCGACCGAACACGGCAGACTGCGGCGACGGGCCCTCCCCGACTTTCAGAAACCGTTGCGACTGGAACAGGGAGCACGAGTGTTGGCGGTAGCGACGGCGCAACCATGAGCCGAGGTGGCGTGGCAGATTAAGATTCAGAACGCTCCGACACCGACACCGTGGGGCAACGAATACCGCTGGCAGGCTCAGCAAGCGTTCAGCCAACAATGCAGACCGGGTTGTATAGACCGACAGGTGACCTATCTGGGCTTCAGACAATTGTACAAGCGGCTGTACAAGCCGCCGTGCGAGGAGCGGTCGCGGGCATGACTACCTGCTTCGCCCCGCAACCCAGCACACGCACGATCCAAGACCACCTGCAGAGTCCGGTAAGCTGGTACCAGTTTTCAACCCCGTCACGAATTCAGTGCAGACAGTTGAACTTTGGATACGGCAAGGTGACGAACTATGGACGATATACTCGTGGACAAGATACAGACGGCGTGTAATGCGCTAACGAAGCTAGAAGGAATCGCCAAAACGTGTTACGACCGCCTCGTCAGTGTCCAGCGTTCGTGGTTTGAATACAAGTTGGAGCCGAAAAAGGTGTTTCCACCACTCGTAAACCTACAGCGCCGACACCAGGAAATGGAAGCGAAGGGAAAACTGCCGAACGAAACCGTCGAACAGCATTTTCATGAGAAACTCAGCCTTCCCCGCGTCTTTGTCAACTTCCGCAATGTCAGATTGTGGACTATGTCATTACAGTCCTCAGTGATGAAGCTCTCGTTCGGAGCCTGAGCGTAGTTAAGTGTTCTACTCCAGAGGATCTGCTGGAGTGCCTCAAACGTTTGGACGACCGACTCACCGTCGTCGGGGAAGCGTCAGACCGATCCGATGCGGCAACCGGTTCAAGGGCGCGAAAGAACGGTTCGCCCAGCAACCGAAATGCCCACACAGTTTCGAAAGGAAAGCCGCCATTCAAATCTACTGGTGAACAGCGACGTTTCAACTGTGACGAAAACGGTTATTTGTCTGTAAACTGCAGTAAACCAAATAAGCGAGAACACTGTAGCAAATTTCACCGAACAGGACATAAAACAGCTCGCTGATCAAGCTGCAGAGGAAGTGTGTGCGTGAAAAATCTTCACTTCGAAAAAGAACAAAAAAACATGTAAATGCACGCAACTAAAAGTATTTTCAAAACGCTCTCGTAGACGGGAAGCTTGTCCGAGCTTATGTTGACCTTGGAAGCCAGTGTGTTACGCTGCGCAATGTGAATGCCGATGATTTGGAAATCAACTATAACAAGCTGTCCCGAGGATGTAAGATTGGAGGCTATGGTTTTAGTCAGGACCTACCATGCAGAATCATAAAAGCAAGCGTCACCGTAGAGTAGGATACAGCTCACGTTCCAATCTGCTTTGTTCCAAATGAAGCGCAAGCGATTCCTCGTCTTGCTGGACAACCGTTTACAGAGCAACCGCATGTTACCATCGTACGAAGAAGGAACACGCTTCTCAGTTTCGATGAACAAGGCAGTTATACTGATAATGATGAACGGCTCCAACACATTCAAGTCCCTGATCTTCCACCACGCTCCCTGATGTTATGGGCGAAGGAGACTGTCGTGCTTCCACCGAACTACGTGGGGATCGTCCATCTGACGACAGGACAAGTTTTTGTTGACGCACAGTCGCGGATGCAATAAGGCAAGGAACATTGCTTGCCTGCTTGTATAATCAACGTCACCGAAGGTGGCGGTATGGTTGGGCCTATTTTGAGCGCATCCAGTTCTAACGTCCATATTTCGAAAGGTGATGTAGCAGCGAGAGGTTCCTGGTGTTGAAAAATGTCTGAAACCGCTATCAAGCGAAGGCCGACGGGTCTCCTGGAACCGATCAAAGCGGAAGATATACGAAGAGGATCTCAGCTGTGTCCTGATCTGTGTGGAAGACACCACCTTACAACAGAGGATGGTCCCATCGTGCGAGCGTCTTTCAAAACGCGGCAAACTAAGGAACACTACTGCTACAACTGCGCAGGTCAAGGCCACTTTGCTCACCAATGCCACATGAAGAAGAGGGGCAATACATGTACGGCCTACCTTCCGACGACCTTCTCGAGCCTCAACGTCACAGTAGAAAGCCAGAAGGAAATTGGCGAGCACTACCGAACGAGCAGAAAGCAGGCCAGGGCCGCCGCAAACAGGTGCACAGCGAAAACCCGCCGGCTCGCCGACAACCAAGAAAACGACCTCACCACAAAACGAATCACCACCGCCAAAACAGGGATGGCGGCTACGACATAAAACATTCCGTGAGCAACGGCGGGGGCTCGAGAAAGAAGAAAAAGAACAAGAAGTCGCACTAACAGCGGAAAATTGATTTGACTTTCTAATGGCAGCTATCGTATCGAGGATATACCTGACCACAAGCGGACTCAACGTTTCTACACGTCGACAGCTCCCGTAAACAAGCTGAAACGACTGACCCCAAGCTCGCGCAACCACCCGCGTGGCGCACTGTTCTTTTTGCGGGGCAGGTGTACCCGCCAGGCGTATATTAAACGCTCCTTTTAAACCTTCAATGGTTCCCGTTTCCCATGTCGAAGACGTGTACCTTTTTCTTATTTTTTCCCAAGAACCGCTGTCGGGATTGGCGCTACGTACCGGAGTTAGACGATTACAATTTTTAAGTAGATAGCTTCATCGGTTGTTACGAATATGCCGGGTGTGCCTAGGAATGTTTTCAAAAATCCCGAAAAATAGGGTGGTTGAGAAACAAAAATGCAAGACGTTTACAACACCCTGTAATGACCAATTAGAGCGCAGCTCTTGAGGAGGAAGGGGGAAGGGTACTGAAAGGATGGTATACCCCTCCTACCTCCTCCTCATCCTCTCTGCTACTCCTCCTCCCTTCCTCCCTCCCCTTCCTCCTCCTCGTCGTCCTCCTCCCTTCCTCCTCCTCCCCCTTCTTCACCTCCTCCTCTCCTCATCCCTCAAACTGCTCCCCTCCTCTCCTCCTCCCTCCTATCTCCTCCTATCTCCTCCTCATCTCTCCTCTTCCCTTCCCCTCCCTTCTCTCCTTCATCCTCCCCTCCTTCTGCCCCCTCCTCCTCAAGTTCCCCCCTCTCTTCCTCCTCCCCCTCCTCCTACTCGCGCGGTGCATTATTGGATATTTCCCATAATGCAACGAGCGGTTAGCTGACGGCGACGGCGCTGAAGACGAAAACGGGCGCCTAAGAGGTGCGCTCTAAAAATATGTCTGGAATTAAACTGCGAACAACGGCAAGCGTCAATGCTTGAAGAAAGAAAAAAAACGACCTATTTAGATAAATATTTAGCAATAATTTACTAATTTACTTCCTAGTTAATAAAAATAAACACAGCCCAAGTTTACAACCTTACGAGCATCGTACGAATACGATTAATTTGACTCAGGTATAAAAAAATATCGAAGACCTTCACGATTCTCTGAAATGAAAAAATTAGAGCGCAGCTCTTGAGGAGGAGGAGGGGAGGGTACGAAGGGGAGGGTATGCCTCTTCACCCCTCCTTACCTTCCCCTCCTCCTCCTCCAGGCCTCCCCTGTAGTGGCAAATCTAGCGAAAATTGTTTCGCCAAATTTTGCGGGAAATTCGGCAAAATGATCTCGCTAAATATGGCGGGGAAGCTTAAACCGCTGAATTTAGTGGGAAAATTTCCCGCTAATTTTAGCGGGTTAAGTTTCCTCGTTATATTCTGCTGGGAAACTTTGACGTCCCATAAAATAATGCGCGCGGTTACGCTTACGCCGACGCCACAAACCCCGGAAACGGACGCCTAAGAGCTGCGGTCTAAAAAAATATAAGGGTGGTACAGTACTTCACGGCGTTCCAAGACAACGTTCTATTTAAGTACGTTTCTATGTTTAGGTTTTCAATCGCAGCGCTCCTTAGAACCTGCGGTCCTGCCGCCCGGTGGCGGACGGCAGGACCACTGGCGCAAAGATGGGCTCCGATAGAAAACCGAAGCCTAGAAACTCGCCCATATCAATCATTTTTTTTTAATCTCTAAAAGACTGCACGTGCCTAAAATCTATCTAAAATAAGTTGATTTAGCCGTTTTCCATGTTGCTTTAAAGATTTGTATTTTGACTTATATCTCTACCTTCACTAACAGAAAACGTTTCTTTTTTTGGTATAGATAAGTTAATTATTTAGCAAATTAGTATATTTTTGCAATCCCTGAGGATCGGCTTGGCTGGCAGTTTGTTGCCGGAAAGTGTTTCGTTTTATGTCAACCATCCTATATTTAAGTATTCTTATAATTGTTTGCTAATAAACCCGGTATATCTAAAGTAATTAAGTATATTTCTCAGTCAGTTGACAATTATTCGGCAGAAGTGGAATCACTAAGTTCTCACCTGGCGGAGTGGCGATGCCATAGCCCTTGCTGTCCAGAAGGCCGCCGATCTGTGTGAGGTTGCAGTCTCGTTCCACGACGTACTCTATTGACGATGACTCCATTAGGAACGCATAGTTTCCCTTCTTAACTCGCTCGACTGCTTTCTCGTTGGAATCAGCGAACGCCTTGGGCCTCGCCGCAAGCATAGTGGTCCACATTCGTTTCATCAGCGGGTCGTCAGAATTCTGTAAAAGAAAGTCATGTGATTCGCAGTCAGTTCAAGCTACTCACGTTCTGCCTATTGAGGTGTCTCATGAGAAATTTTAAGCGTATTTGCGGTTGGTACCTGGAGAGACGCAACATGACATAGAGCACGTGTGATCCCTGATTTCTTTCCCTTGCAAAAAAAAAAACAACTCAATATTTGTTTTACTTCTTCCCAGGAAATGAATTACCCTAATGCCAAATGTGCATATTGGGAATGTCTATACTTTTCATTTTATTATTTTCTTAGCAAATGTTGTCGCTTTAAATTGTCCATCCGCGGTCAGTAAAAGCAATTTAAAGCACTCGTGGATGCCCGAGATCACTGGTGAGGCTTAATTCTCCTATTCCATTATCAAGCCAGGATACCTTCATAAACGTAGATGGTGTACAATTTCCCGCAGGGTATACCCGTCTATCATTACTGGGATTCTAGAACGCAGGGTGTTTTACGCAGGTACTTCGGAAGAACACGTTTCAAACCTGAAGCGCACTCTTTTTTTTATTTGAAAACTGTGTAGGCTTTAAACACCAGCACACAACACACGCGTAATATTCAACATATTATAAAATAATCAATTCGAGTAATAAAATATAATTTTAATGTGGCGGGAAAATAATGAATTTCATTGGTTATCGCTTGTAGAGCATAATTTTTATATTTTCTTTCATATCTTATTCGCACGAAAATACATATAGAAACAATCTGACAAATGAAATCAAAACTAGTACTACGTGAATGTACATATTGCATGAAATAAATAATTCCTATATTCTTCAGAAATATTTAATTATTACAATTAAATATATTTAAATACATTTATTATTATTTGAAGGAGCTAACTCAGAAGATTGCTTCATGTCCGTTAACAACATCGAATAATTCCTTAGAGATTCTCAGACATTGCTACTACTCGTTGTCTCATGGGAAATATCATCTTTCCTCCGCGCCCTCTATAGACCCAAAGAACTCAATATTGCGAACGATGGAAAGTTTGAACTGTTCCTTACTATCCTCGAGGTTGAGTCTAGCAGCAACAGGAAAGGAATTATCAACCCAACTTATTATTAGAGGAGAAAGCAACCCGAAATTTGAGGCTTTACACAAACGAATGCCCCCAAAAAGGTTTTTAATGTGCTTCTCAAGACCAATATTAAATATGTTATGCTTAGGTAGAAAAACAGTCCGAAGACTTGCTTTTATACCACCCAGCATCGATATTTTTAAAACAATAAAAATGACAACTCGTGATAGGGGACCCTCGCTGTTTATAGTCCAGGATTCCTGTTTGCACTCCTGTAGTGCGTCTAGGTTTAATAAATCTCAATATCCGTGAGGGTCTTTTCATCACTCTGATTCATGCAGCTGTCGCAATCATTCTTAAAGAATTTAACGCAAAAGCATGCAGTGCCTTGTTTAGTGTTGTTTTCTCCGCTAAAAAAAAAAAAAAAATTCATGGTTTCTTGAATCGTTTTTCCGTACAAATTCACAAGATGAAAAAAAGGTGCCATGGTTGCGCTTGAAGGTGCCCGCAAAATTGAGTTCGTCAAAAAAAAAGAAACAAGTGCATTAATCGCTTTATCTCGCATAAAGATAAAGCAATAGAACCATCAGGCTTACTTTGCCGATTATAGTGGTAGTAGAAATTGTCAAGGTGGGCGCGACTATTGAGCCCCAAGCAGATATGAGAATGCCGGAGGAGCCCTTACAGGCGACCGTAACGGTAGAATTTTCTGTGGAGGAACATTTCAACCTGACCTCAAAGAGTTATGAAAACCGTCTCTTTAACTTGTATCATATTTACAGCCACTATCCGACCAGAAACAAGGGTGCCTTGCAAAGTTACGAGTTCATAAGTAGTTCGAAGAGTTAACTAAATGAATATCAAATCAAAACTCTCTCTATTGATGAAACCTTTTTATAGTTTTATATATAATGTTGAGGAAAGGGTTATATGGCAGCAGCCAAAAATGACCAGGCCACCGACTTCCGTATTCTTGTCACTTGAGACATTTTAATTATAAAAATAGTGATAAGGGCCAAATATTTTTGTGAAACATACGGTGTAGTACTTTAATCATACGATTTGAAAACAAATATTCCCAGCTTTATTGTCACTGTTAAAAACGTGAAATTCTAAAGAACGCACATTTTATTGTATGTATTAAAATGAAAGAACAGCAGCGCTTTATAAAAAAAAAGACTCAGTAAAATTTAGGAAGTGCAATCACAGCCGCGTTCCTCGTACGATTGTAATGCAGACACTTTAAAAACGGCTCTCTTAAATCAAGATTTATGAGAAAACCCGGAAGTAAAACTTTTGGGAAAAATTAAAACGTTTTAAACTTTTTAAACTAAACGTACAAGGTGTACGAGCTCAGAAATGTACTCGTGTACATAAATTCTAAAATAAAATTAAACTAAAAAACACTATCCAAAGTTCTTAGCCATTGAGCATACAACTAGGTTGCTTAGGCAATGAGCACCTTAAAGAAGAGACATGTGGAGCCTTCTTCTTTACAACCGTAGACGATTTTGGTCTGCTTGGCCAGGTCGTTGGCATTCTCGATGGGCGCCGTCATCCGTTGAGCAGTCAAGAAGGCGGCTAGGTTGGCAGTGTACGAAGATATCATGATGAGGGAAAAGAACCACCACATGCTGGACGCAATCCTTGTGGATATTGCTCTGTAAGATGTGTGAAGAAGAAAGGGCAGATTACTGATGATTTAGAATGCATACACACGCAGAGTCACGCCTGAGAATCAATCACCTTGAGCGCAAATTACTTTGCAAAGACGGCTCTGAAGCACATGCTTAAATTAAGCTACAATGCGTGCGCGTGATATTTTTGGTGCTGAAATAAACTAGGACTCGTATATTGCTAATAATTAGCCTGCTGAGCAAAAGGGCACGTCAGTGCCAGGTACAAGCGTAGTGTAGGAACTGCCGGTCAACCCGCAAAGCATTATATAAAATTCGTACCAGCATGTCGTAAAGTAAAAAAAAAAAAAAAGAACGAAGGAAACACTTAAAAGTAAATGTTGTCAAAGCCGCAAAGGTCTGCCATTTCCGCCTAAAACAGCGTACAGACTAGCGTCTCACACATTTTAGTCTTTAGGCGATTTTCTGCAGAAATCAAACGCAAACAAATACAACCACATACATGCTGCGCCTTGTTGATTACTCTCTCATTTCACCTTACTTGCGTGCTACAAAACTACGGTTACGGATGCTATGTTTACTGATTGGGATGGCAATTTTCCCGCACTACTCCAAAACCAAGCGTAAATATAAAAACTGCTGGCATTTAATATATTGTAGAGCGTGTCCTCAAAAATAATTTATACAAAAATTTCACTTCAAATACAAATGGCGTAACTCCGAATGCCCAGCCCCCGCCACTACTCAGCACCAGCGAACCGAACCAGATGCCAAACTTTCAGATCTAACAGTTTTACTAGTTAAAAATTGTAAGTGTTTTCAACTGCATTAGAAAAGGGGGTCTATTTTTGGTAACCAGTGCCATTCAGATCCAAGTACGTATTCGAGGGTTCAGTCGGCTATCATTTTACCCTATAATTTTGTAGATCTTTGGTGAAAACATCGGGTGTTCTATTCAATGCGTGACCTCTACTTAGCATCAAATGAACCGTAGAAATCAATAAATTCACAAAACGGCGTAATGGGCATCGCTCGAAAGGGATCTATTTCCACGGACTGAGTTGAAGTAACTGATTTTATTGCATACGAAAGCAAATTGATTGGATGTAATCTAGCTGTGACCCAATAAACAGAAAACTTACATGGGGGCGATCTCGGACCCCTGCTGCATAATAGCCCCCGTCGTGAACCAGAAGCTGTTTGGAAGGTTGAACTGGTTCTGAAGATCTCCTTCCTCAGGGACGCAAGGGTGTGGTGAAACCCACTCGTAGGGGGTAAACCTTCCCATGATAAACATGAGTAGAGACACCCCGAGGTAGGCTGTGAGCATGTAAAGCCAGACGTCAACGGAAAATGGGTACAGAAACGAGAAGAGAGACGGATCGCTCTTTTCGGCCTTCTTAAAAAGGATGCTTATTCCCGTGTTCATGAAGGGGATGGTGAAGTCAACCGCTGACTCCCTCTCGTAAGTTATGGTCAGGTCCACGATGGCAGCATCAGCTTTCTGCGTGGAAGAGCGGGTTCGGATGACATGTTCAGAAACATGACAGTTCAAGATGCGGAGTCAATTGTGAGAGTTTAGGAGAACATCGATGGGAATATAGTATTGGCACCTGACGAGTGATTATTTCAGAAAAATACACAAATGAACGGTTGTTAAGGGTTTCCATTCCGTCTGAACTTTTTTGAAAACTACTGACTCAATCACCGCCATTGGCATATATGTGTATTATTGGCTGCGATAGATCAGTTAATATTGTTATTCTACTACGACATATCCATGTAACATGGACAGTGGGCAATATCCATGTAACATGGACACAAATCCATGTAACATGGACACATGGACAATCGGCTTTAGGAAATAGATTGTGAAGAAGACAAGACATTTATATGAATATTTTCTGCTAGTAAAGCAAAAGCAGGATGGCCGTTCTATAATTTTCAGAGTGGTCTCTTGTGTGTTTTGCATCTAGGAAGTGGCTCAAAATGAATGAGAACTTGACTCTGGCCGATTATGTGTTGAAAACCTGAACTAAGGTGCACTGATCACGATTATGGTGAGCACCTTAATCCTCATACTAAATTAAAATATAACTCAGGGAATTTGCCCTAATGTGCAATATGACAGACATATTTCAACCAAATATGTGACCGTTGACCGTGCCGTGCCTCTAGTGCACCAAAGCAGGCCCTGCGAGAGTTCGCCTTAAAGGCGACGGTGTGGTCGCAATTTGAAAAATGCTTTGCTCTCGTCGTACTTCTGCGGTGCTTAGGAAAACAGCGCTTGTCGTGAGGGCCATCAGCAGCTGCCACCGTTTGCAAGTTACAATTTAAAACATTTTTCGTGCACAAATTTCAGTCTAGGCGAAAGTCAAGTGAGCATACATTTATAATTCTTTTTGTTCTTATGTGCTGTTTACAGAAATGTTAGGAAAATAATATTTAAAATAATAAACGTTGAACTTGTGATTTGGCTTCAGTGATGTTCGAATTTGTATTGCTTAATTTTGTTTTGTTTTGCTATATCTAACATTTATGGGAACAGCTATTTCACAAACATTCAAAATTAACCCATAAAAAGTAAACCATTCACGGAAAGACTGCTTGAAGTTATTTATTAATGATCCATTTTAACACCGCAAACGGCTAAACACAGTTATCAGCAGAACATTCATGAACTATTGTTTCTTTCATTGACGTTTGAGGTAGAAGACAAGAAGTATATAGCACTACACAACCCACTGTTAATCACGGACTGTCGCAATGTTTTCCAGAGTAAGTGCTTAAAGGGGCCCTGCAAGTACTTTTTTACTGGTTTTTATTTTGCACCGAACCTGAGCGCACTGAACGTAGTAACTTATTGAAACTTCTTTTCTCGAATTTCGATATATTTTAAAAGCTATACGCAAATTAAAGTTACAAAAACAAGCGAAAATGACCTCCTTCATGACGCCCTTGGTTGCTTGAGTGGCCGTGAACTAGAGGAGGGGTAATGAGCTCATCGAGCGCTCACGGCTGCCGCACTCCGTGTCGACGGCTCGAGAGACTGGCACTTAAGAATGTTCTGGATAGGCTGCATGCAGCGGGCAGCCAGAGCTGCTTTCATTGCATTTGCTGCGCGACTAAACACTAATTCGGCATGACACTACATTGGCCACAAACGACAGCAAACCCGGGGTAAAGATCAGTTCAGAATGGGAGCCACTTTGTGCTGCCATACCGCGAAACGGCCAAACCGCAAGACAAAACTTCTCGCCGAAGGGGAACGCTCCGAGCCGGTCGGTCCTCCAGTCCGTAAACGACCACAGCGCCGCCGCGTACATCCGGAACCTTTCCGTGTCGGCGCCTGATCCCACTACTCCTTTCTAGGATGCGTCGCCTTTTTTACCGATTGGTGGTGAGTATGTCGACAGGTTATTTCTTGCTTCCGTACTTTATAAGCTGCATTAGTTTCTTCTCTGATCTAAAATAGTGAACAAATTTACTTTTATAAATGATTGAAAAGGTTCGCACCACTTATATTTTGTATTTCGACTAAAAAGAAGCTTTTAGTGGCTCTGAACACTAGTAAGCCCATGACCTAAGACGTCACATACAGCGCGCTTTCGGTACCGCGGGTCGCCCCCGTCGTTGAAGGAGGTTCCGCATCGTCCGTTAAAAAATGACGCACTGATACTTAGTTAATTTCTCCGTGCCCGCTGACTTGCTCGAGCCCCAAGAGACGTGGAAACCGCAAAGAAGGTAGGCGCTTAAATACGATTGCAGAGCCCCTTTAAGACAAACAGAACAAATATTGAGGAAATTTTATCTGAGATACTCTCCGGATTTAGTATTCTAGAAGTGGGTATTCTACCCACTAAACACAAGCCCACCATAAAGTGGACCAGTCAGCCAACCCGTTTTCGAATGAACCAATGATTAATGATCGCACCTAGGGCGTTGTCGTAGTCGTAAACAGGCTTGATTGAGGTTTTCGTCTTTTTAATTTTTAGAATCAAGACAAAAAAACGGAACTTAATAACAACTAATTAGGAGCTCATTAGCGTAAAAACAACCAGAAAGTAAATACAACATTAAATTTGATGTTGGCCGGAAACCAGACTGCGTTCAAACTCAGTCTCTATTTTACCCGGGAAATCTCTAATATTAGGTAAGAACCTAAAGCGACTATGAGAAACTTACTCTGTCAAGAAGTTCCTTAATCATGCCGTTCCATTCTTTGTTTGGCTGCGGTGACCCGTACTTGCCATCTTCCGTAAGATAAAACTCGTGCTTGAAGCCGATTTCCTTTGCCAGCATTGCAATCAGATCAATAGCATAACCATAAAACCGATCATTCCCAGTCTTGTTTTCGCTATCCGGGTAAACCATGGTGTAAGGCTTCGTCTAAGAACATATATAAACAAAAAAAAGAGTATAGAGTTAATTGAACAATATCTAAACTGTTTTATTGGCAATGGGAATGTAGGGTAAAGCAGGCTTTTCATTTCCAGGGTGATGTTATGAATATAGCAAATCAAAAATATTTAGCAACTTTCACTCAAGATCAAAGCAGGATGAAAATTAATATATATTTTGTGTAGTTCTTTTAATACATGATATAGCATTATTATGTAGTCCTTGAGTTTGCGAGCATCTTCTACTAGGCGACACCTGAATCAATAAATTGTTGGAACGCTCTTATACATATAGCGTCGCGCTGCTTCTGTACATCCGATGATAACTATTGTATCCCATATTTAATAATGTAGCAAGCCTGTGTGCATAAAAAAAAACATTTTGATGTAAAATGAATTTGTTTTTTTTTACAATGGAATATGTCAGCGATGTTAGTAAACTGTTTGCCATTGGGAGGTGCCAATTTTGATATATATCGGTCATGAGTCTAAGTTAGGGACCCGTATTCTTCTGGGTGTGCAATTTCGTAGGTATGTTTTCCTTTAATGTGCCGATATTATTCAATAATTTTTAATTCACGTGTTGGCTTTTGTTGACTCTATACATAATAAGATACATTTTTAGAATCATTATTAAAACGATTCTAAAAGATCAGACTGGATGTTTAGCTAAATCTGTTCAATTTCGCCATGTAACACAGGCGCTTCATTTTGCAGTTGCGGTACATATTTCCAAATAAGATTCTGGCAGGTACGACCTTCAGCATTCATAGCTACAACGCTTCCTATAATCGCTTCGCAAAATCATGAATACGTGCGTGTGACTCTAGATATCGCAATCGGTAAAGTGTACATACAAACATTTGACCTGTGTACGAATCGGGTTAGCGGGACGAAGGTAGGAGGGCGTCTTGTTATTAAGGAGGAAAATGGTAAATCTGTGGGCAAGTAGACCAAGCGCAATTCTTCCGCACCATTCACTCGCGTTGATTTTAGCACGTGGCACTATAATTAATCTTTGCCAATTATTATTACCTTTCATTTTATACCAGAAACGAGAAAACATGGATTTAAATCCATTTTATGGAATGGTACCTATGACGGGTTTTCAGTGATAGTGAGGACAGCACATTTTCAGGTGATGATAGGAATTCAGAAAAAGATTGTTGGTGATATCTTGACTGCTACTTCTTGGGAACATTTTATATTAACAATCTAGAACTTTCCTAATAACAAGCAAGAATTCCCTCAGATCTGTGTACCGCAGCGAGCAGAGACATCTAGGGACGACTCAACTATGTCTACCTGTGGCATCTAAAACGTTTAAACGTGACCTTCCATTCAGATACATGGTTCTCAATAGAGCTTTCGAACACATCTCGCGAGACACTTTTATACTCCTCACAATGTCGCCATAAGAACCGATCTAAAAAGATATATAAAAAATATTTAAAAAAAAATTATAAATATTGCTATACCCGGGTCTGATCAAGACGCCAACTCTGGTTCTTAGGTTGGTCTTGAGGAAGGTTGCTGACGGGAAGAGTGTGAGCAGCTTTGAAGAATTCAAGGGTTTCCTCCACTTCAGTGCAAATGCATACGTGAATAAATATGACCCTCAAAGAGACAGGGTCCAGAAAATCAGGCAACTCGTCAAAAAGCTGCGTGAGAAGTTGTGCAAAATGCCAAGGGAAGAGAACCACTTTGTCGACGTGCAGATTGTTCAGTTCATGTTTTTTTATATTTGCTTTGTGTATTATTATTTCTGTGTTATAAATGAATAACGTTTCTTTCATATGCTAACACGGGGGTGGCACTTTACTAAATGGTGAGCCTTAACTGCATACAATTTCGTTTTTTTTTTTTTTTAATCCCTACAATTTCGTTTTTTTTTATTAAACAGTACCTTCGTAGTCTTATTGCTAGTGCATGTAGAAGGAAATTTATTTTAGTACAAAAAAGAAACAGATTAAACATTGGGCTCAAGAAGCCAGAATTGTCCCACTTACCTCAACCGTGGTAACCTTGAGAGTAAACCCTTCAAGTTCGTCCGTGAATTCTTTCTCAGAGATAAGTGTGTAGTTCGCAAAATACGAAAGTCCCGTCCTTGGGTGCCACGTGGCAACCTTCAAACAAAAACAAAAACATACGTCTCGTAATAGACAAGGGCTGAAGAAAGCTTATCGAGTTTACCAATTTAGCAACTTACTTGTTTTAGGCCCCTTGCCTTTAGTTCAAGGACGTCGAGGGTGAATTCTTCCCGGACACCTTTTTCTTCCAAACGCACGTCTCCGGTAAGTCCACGAATCGTAATCTACGAAGTAAAAAAAACAAAACATTTTTAGCATTGTCGTCATGAAAGTAAAAGTGTCATAGAAATTGATAACGTTTTCAAATTGTTGTCATGAAACTCAACGACGTCATTTACTTAATGCAGCAAGTGCAAGCTGAACTGTAAAATTTAAGCGGTTCGTTTCGATCGTCTATAGTTTGAACACAGTTATTGAATGTTTGTGCATAACCCCGAGCGCGAACTTAATGTGTCGTTGTATGCAAAAATACTGTATTTTGTATGTAAAGTTTTTGCATTTAAGAATGATTAAGAGGCGCACAGGAATAAAGCTCGTTGAGAGAAAAGAAGGAATATCTTAACCAGGTATGTATATACGCATACCGGGTGTTTGAGCGATGACTTTACACATTTCTACAAACAGGGTAGTTGAGAAGTTGCGAAAAACACTACGAAAGACAACATACTAATTATCAATTAGAGACTTACTGGACGTACCCGAAAGCCACTAAAACACTCAACTGTAGGGATCCTAATGCGCAAGGGAAGGGCGCGGTGCGCTAAGGTTACCAAATGTGCAGCAGGTGGGGGCTGGCGATGCAAAAAAGGAATTGATAAGAATATCATCCGTTTTTCGCACCACCAGCTTTGTGCCTGTTGCACGAGTGGTGACTTTAGCGCACCCCAGCGCCTCCCACGTGCTTTAAGCTATCCTAACATTCACGAATAAAAGCTTTTCGGTGACGACCCTAAAGTTCCTCATTGGAAACATACGCGCATTTCCACTAATTACTAAAGTTTAGTTGATTTTATCGCTAATAATGATCGTTTTTTATTCACAATCCTTGATGTCCACCGTGGCTAGCAATTTGTTCCCGAAAAGTTATCTTTTTTTGTTTTGTGAACAACCTACTTATAGAAATGTTCGAAAGCCTTAGCTGAAAGACCCGGTATACTATACGTCTATACAAATTTCTGAAACTTTTCTGCTACAGTTCAATGTACTTTTTTTGTATCATACGATATGCCATTGCGCGACGCCTTGCTGCATTTTTCTACACGTGCTCAACGCGCCAGACTTCATCAATATTTTGTACTTGTGAGATCTGGGGAAAATTTAGAATATAAAATAATTATCCGAAAAGGTAGGACGAGGTAGACAAGAGGTCGAAGACAAAAATTTAGGATTTTTTGTTCGCTGCCAATTTGTCAGTAGTTACGTGGTAATGAAATCACTTTTTGTGTCTGCTCTTAAACCCACGCGATCTGACTTTTTTACGTCAAAAGGAATAATATCCCACTTAAATGGATGGCTTGGCTTATTTCTGACATTCTTTAAGTCAACCTGCCTAGTCCACAATTGGATTAAATTATCGTTTCAATGTCCAGCAGCAAAATATTTTACAACTACGCAAGGCTAACCGATATGCTACCCATGACGATAGATGATATATTAGTGTTTTCCCCAACTTGGAAAATAACTTACATGGTTTCTTTTACAAAGCAGAGACCGATTAATTACTTTGTGTGGAACAAAGGTCATTATAGAATATAAAAATCACGCTGCAGTATAAAAAATAATATAATGTAATCGGGTTTTTGCTCTAAGCATTTTACTATCGGGTGCTCACAAAATGAAATAAAAATTCCATTTTTAGGAAAAAAAAATTGCTATGCCTTCACCCAATGAAACTTCAAGAAAACAAATAGTTTGGTACAGGGACTTCAAATATTTGCCTCTAGTGTAAGGGGCCTGCAATAGCTACACTAGGTATTCGGCTACACCCTCACACGCGACAATTAATGTGCGACCTGTCGTCGGTCAGTTTTCAATATTTCGGTCAATGTCAATTTGAAGGCGTCAACATGCAAAAACATTTTTTTTATGACGTAAAAACAAGATTATAGCTCATAAACGTCTGAAGAGCTGTACAGCGCCACGCACTTTATGCTTTTTCACCACCTCATCATTCTCAAGAATGCAAATAAGACTCTCCCTGCAGCTGAAACTTTTCTGAAGATTGCAATTTTTTCTCACCATTTTCATTGCATCGAGGAGAGAGGATCCGTGTCTCCAGGGCTTCGGGTGCTCACAGTTCAGCGACTGTAGATCGAGTGTCTGCAGCACTCGATCAGCGTTGTGGAGTCCGTTTGCCAAAAGAGCTACGGCGTCAAACGTCAGTGCCGTGTCTGTCTGCGATAAGAGAAAACCCGTTGGCCACCGTTGGAACACAAAATTACATTGATTTTCACCGGTGTTTGTTTGCAAACAACCTCGCTGCAGCCCGCGTTCGGCGGGCCCCTGCGCGCTTCCCGTTTGTTTATGCTTTCCTTTTCGTATCGCATCCTTTTGCTATTTGTACTACTTCTCTGAATGTACGCAGGTTCTTACAAACATATTGCTGATTCTTCTACGATCGAAAATCTTCTTGCTCGATTGCGCTGGGTTGTTCACGAACAAATAAATGCACTGCCTGATGTCTAGTGGTGCATCAGATACTGTGGCGCTCTTGTGGTATCAACTCACGTCGAATGCGATGAATAGTGACTGACACAGGAAGAGCGACAGGGCAATTATTTTAAACTCCCGTCCTCCAACGCGAAGTTTCGCTTTTCGCCGTGCTTTGACTGCGTGGGCACGTTCGAGGCTCATGAAAAGGTAGGAAGATAGCTTTTGAGGCCGGACAACTACAACTCTTTTTGGGGTTCTCAATGTCATATCGCGCCGAGATGTTTCGGTGGCGCCCTTTGAAGGTCTCCATCAGTGACATCACGACCAGGATTCACCTTGCTTTGACGTCGCGAGGTGCTGCCCTGGCTACTTCTCATAACTTGCTACGCGTTTGATTGTGTCTAAAAAACGCAGTGGAAGATAGGAGCCATTACATTCTTAAACAAGGACCGCCGAATCTCACAATCTCTGGCAATGCGCTCATGCTCATGGTTTGGTTAATCGTGGAAAGCCAGAAACGACGACCACAGCAACGTTCTTGGTCGCACACGTCACTAATACCTCTTTCATCCTACTAACGTTGGTTCATTCTTAATTTGAGAGTACAGCCGAGGAAAAAAGCGCGGGCAAGCGTGCGCTCTTGGCTTTAAGACTTTTTTTTTGTGGGCGAAACTTGTTTAGCGAAAGAGGTCTTCAAGGCAGCGACCTTGCGCTCTCGTGCTTGTGGCATTGGCTGCAGTCTGAGCTTAACGGTGAACAGGGTATATACATTCCTAAACAATGACACATTGAGTGTTTTCATATGGCGAAGATTGACTTCCCCCAAGACTGATGGTCGGTGTTGGGTCGTCTTTATAAACAAGGAAGACAAAAGAGACGTTGATTTTGGGACATCTATGCGTGTCTTACCTATTTTTTTATAAATGACATATTTTATATGGCTAACCCCCACTCTTTTTCGGCTCTCTCTCACGTGACGTAAAACAAAAAAAGCAAAAAAAAAAAAAACTCAAGTCGGCAGAACACTGACGCAGCGCTCGTATCCTCACTGTTTGGCATCGGTATGTCTCGCTCGATTAATCCGAGTTATTACCGTGGGTCATATCACGAGATCAAACACAGAGCGGCGCCACTGATACTCTATACACCTAGCGAACGCTAAACGAGCGAGCTCTAGGTTTTTTCTAAGCTCGCATTTTTTCTTTACTTCTTTTTGTCCCCGTGTTGCATTTTGTTTTTATATCAACGTTCATGTGGAAGCCACGGGGCGGCACAGGTCTTTCATTTTCTCAGTCCTGCCAGTTTTGTTTTCTGGGAGTCACGACACCGGAGATGCTCCTAAGCTATGGCTGCGTTGCAATCGTATCTAGCTTTCACAAAAAGAATTTGAATTTATGCGCGAGAGGGTGAAAGTTGGCCACGCGGTGATGTGATGGTGCTGATAGGGGAAGGGGCTGACACGTACATGTCTGAGTGAGAGTGCTGATTTGGGGTCTTCTTGGTGTGTGTGTTTTTATCTTATTTTCTTCTTTTTCCTTTTTCAAGTAATAAAGTTTCAATTGCGAGTCAGCGCTTGTCCCGTCTGCGTGTTTTGTTCTCCTTCGTCCGTGTTTGTTTGAGCTGTTTTTACATTATGATCTAGATCTATCTCGACGCACAATGACATTCGGCGTGAGCACTGCCTTCGCACACGATAGCGGAGGACAGGAGCGATGTTTTGCTCCTTTGTCTCGTGACTCCAAAATGATGAAGACCCTCGGTTCATTAGACGTTGGGCAACTGGTTTCCAAGAAAATTAATGAAGACAATGTTTGTTAAGATCCCCCATAATTTTGTGTTTATCGAGCGTACTGACAGTTCATCGTAAAATAGGGTTGCAAGATGCAGACATTGAGCCATTTGTTCTTTATACGTCTTGCTGAAAATTGAGCGTCTGGTTCACAAGCGAAGGACGCGTAATCACGCTTCCTGGTGCGCTAAAATAGAGGGCTGGCAAGTGTTCACCTTCATATTTCGTGTCATAATAAGGCCAGACGCAGCCAACGCTAAGAGTTGATGGGACAAACCAGAAAGTGTCAAAAGCACACCCTCGTGACGATCGTTATTTTTCCGTACGTGTTCTATCATCGCTGAACCAATCACAAGGAGAAAGAGCCAAGTGACTCGCGCTTTTTGGAGTTGCTTAGTTGGTCCGATTACCTCGTAGAGTCCGCTACGTCTGGAGTTCAGCTGAAACGAAGTAAAGTGTCTATTATATACATTGTAAGTTTAAGAAGCGCTGTGCGTGGCGACTCTGAAGCGTCTGATTATCACTCCGCAGTGAAAGAAATTGCCGCGTTAGGCAATAAGAAAGTGCAAATCACAAAGCAAACATTGTGAATATAAGATGCCAAGCCCTGGGTTCGTTAATCTACCAGTGACCATAGTACCCTCTGAAGATCAAACGCTCGATACTTATAATTGGCTTGACAAAATTAGTGTTTTGGCAAACTGAGATATTGAAAGTTACCCTTTTATTCATAAACAGGTTCTTTTGCTTGCGAATTCTTACAATCATGTGAAACCCAGCTTGAAAAAAAAAAAAAAAATTACTCGTATATAAAATACATGCAGTCATTGTTTCATCTTGGATAGCCCGATGCAGTGGCTTCATGAAAGTTGACATTATTACATGCCATGTCTTACTAGGGCCCTTCCCCTTGCTTCTCCGCATTGGAGCCGATCTCGGTTATTGCTGAAAGCCGAGCACTAGGAACCTTGTTTCGTAATATGCTAGGAAGAATGATCCCTTGAACATCATTATACCTATTCAAAGCAAACAGCTCAGTGGGCAATATTTATTATAGGTATCGTAGTCGTACATTATCTTACAACTCTTATATTTCGGCCCATGACCGGCTTCTGGATTCCTGGATTACTCAAGAGGGAGCGTGTATGTTCGATTTTGCTACATCAAACGCCCCAATGACGGTTACAATAGAAAAGTGCGGAGTGTGGTGGTTTACTTTTCTCTTACATTGCAAAAACATTAAGATTCTTTATTAGGCCTGATTACTTTTGATTTATTTGACCCTAAACACAAGGTATGCCTTGAATGCCAATCAGGTCACTCGACGGGTGCTCACACATTCGTATCTAAAATATCTCTCTCTTGACAGAAGGGCTCGTCGGGAATTTTTAGCTGTAAAATGGTGCTTTTTCTACCAAATTTTGTTACGTCTCAAGTCACTACATGATCTGAAAATATGAATTAGGGAAGTAAAGAGGCGTGATGCACCTCACTGCTGCAGCGTACTTCTTGCTTTCTTTTATGCTTTTCTCTTTTGTTTTATAAAAATAAGTCTCAGATTATGGAGTGTCATGATGAGCTGATTGTGCGTATTTTGGCGAGACGAACAAGCCTGTAATGAATATGTACGTTTTAGATGACTTTCTCAAGCACATTAAATATCAATACACTTTACTCGCTCAATGAGAGAAACGCGTACAAAAATGTTATCATCGTTTCTTATATTACTCTGCTATATTATTTTCAAACGACACTTAGGGGAGATTAGTGGCCGATTGAGCTAGCGCACCCCAACTCGCAGCACGTGGAGCGAAAGCTCGCGCTGCAGAACCCAGGATCCTGGGTCCAAACCCCACCCCTGCCTGTCTTGATCTCAACAAGCATCGTACCATCGTGCGGTCATGTATCGCTGCGGCGTGATGCACGTTAAGCGGGTGTACTGCACCAACTAAACTTTTTATTTACAGATGGGAGACTCGTCGCCCGTTGTGGCAGACCATGATCTAGGCTGTATAAACACACACACAACCCAAATGTTATTAAACCCCTATGCCTCTACATGAGTGGTCCTGTTTGTGTTCTATGTAAGAGGCTTATATACACCATAAAACAGGACCACTCATGTAGGGGCAACATTTTTTCTGCACATTTTTCTTGTCTCACTATTGTTGAATGTCAGCAGAGCAGCGTAGCTTAATATCATTCGATACCAACAAGCTCGTTCACAAGCATTTCTTGAGTGTTTACAGTCCTCCCATGTCACAATGCAAGACATGTTATTTGTTAGTAACATATTATGCGAAAACAAAATATTATATCTAGAAAGATGCAGTACTGCTAAAATGTTATAATGTTGCCTAACCATTTAACGCTGATTATATTGAAATTTAATAGCCTAGAAACCGTGCGGGTTCGTTTATAAATAAGTCTCCAGATGCACTTTTTTGCTTAACAAGGAGGCAGGCAATACAGCTAGAAATTCAGGGAGAGGAGAGATGCGATTGCACGAGGACGTTGGAACGCAGAGCTGTGGTTGGAACTATTAGTTGGTAGCTGCAAGGCTGCACTTGTCTCCACACGCTGTTTGAGCGCTTTGGAATGTGAGCGCCAAACGTCGAAATTCAGTGTTTGGCGTTCGAAGGCGTTTGAAGATTCAGCAGTGACAATGGCAACCAACTTTACGTCCACTCACAACTCATTCCGACAAGAGCTCGGCGTTACGATGTCCTCGGGCGCCTGCCATCTCCTTTTGGTTCTCAGCTTCTACCCGTATTACGGCTAACAATTGGAGGATCGCCACGAATCGCGCCCCTCAGAATACAATTTGTTCTGAAAAATGCAATATGCGAAGAGGAAATGAGTGAATGAAATGTTGTGCTCGTTACCCCATTCCCCCCCCCCCCCCTTTTCTTTTTGATCAAACTGTTTTCCAATATCGTCATTCGCTAGGATCTAGTCCTTTCCGCTGTCATTCACTGTCTTCGTGTTCGTCGGGAAAGTAAACCCAAATACGTTTTCCAGAGTGTTCATCGGCTCTCGCACTGGCCGAAAAACTTACCTTGCATTACGATTTTTCTAAAATTGCTGCGACTGTGGCAACACATAATTAATTCAGAGACCTAGACATCATAAAATAAATCAAAAGGGGTGCTCGGGACGCGGACCTGCATTGGCTATTAGAAATAGCTTGTTTACTGAATACGGTAGATTCAATATGTCACGAAGGGTTATTTTTTATTCGGGTATACATGGTTCAATTGTCAGCTTGCTGACTTCAACCATGTAAAGTGCTTACAAACTAGCCCAGCTCAACACCCTTCTTTAGTCTGGCCGTTTGCACTCCGAGCGACTCTTTACATTCTCCAACCTGTGCTTTCATACAGGTATCTTCAAACCATCCAAGTTTCATTATGTTCACTATAAAAACAAATCTTAACTTTTACATTGATTTAATATCCCAAACAATTATTACTGAAAATCTAAGCGCCGACATGTCTATGAATGTCAGAAACTAATGTGTTCGGTGCGAAAGATGAAGTGTAATCTGCCTCCGTACATCAATGTGCGCAGGACTGGTGTGATTGTCGGCTCCATATCTCCACAGGGCGCTGCCAATTTTAATGTCGCGCAGAACGTTCATAACTTCCGGACGCGATGGGTCGACGAGACGAAATGCTGTGATGTTCGCTTGCAAGCCAACAAACTCGCGAAGGTCCAGAGTGTGGAGGTCCTGAAAATAAAGACAAACACTCATATAGTTCCTTGTTTCTCAGCAAAACGTTTATATTAAAAAAAAAAAAAAGTAACTGAACGGCAGACAATTTCTAGCAGTGTGTATAACTAGATGTCTGACCCTCCGGGATTGGTCGATAATACATCATTAGAGCCCCTCGCGGATAACATTTTGATCATTCGCATTCCTATGCATGCATTAGCACCCGAACCGCATTCATTAAATTGGGAGCGCCCTCCAATTCCCAATTCCTGAAATGTCAATACATCAAGTGTGAATAAAGCAATGAATCGTCTGTATGGTACTATATAATCCGCTTTCTTATATTTTTACAAATCTCTCTTCGAGTCAGAAAACGGTGAATGTAATTTTTGTCTAATTCTTTTTTTCACACCATATTTATAATATAAGCGATCGTTCATCCAGAGACACCTCGCGTCTCTGAAAATATTATTCCAGGTAGGAGATCGTCCCCGAAGTCTGCGACACACTGCCTAGATGATGCTCTTGGAAGAAAAAAAATATTTTAAAGGCAGATATTCATTTTAAAACAATTAAAATTAATAAAATACAAACAAATATTGTAGTGTACTTTCATTTAGGATAAACAATAAAAATTGGGAGAAGAAAGGCGGTCTTTCACCGTACCAAAGTACAAGTATATACGCGATAAGACGTTAGTACATCACTGGGAAAATATGATAACATTCAGTAATGGCAGCGCCTCCCATCAGTTTCAGTTTTAAGCACAAACCAGCAACTGCGTTCTCCAGACCATGTACTTATTAGCGTCTTGCCAATTGTTGAGAGACAAACTTCTCCCACACAAAAGGCAGGTTCTCTTGTATTTAAGGCTTCTATTATCTTGTAGCTTGCAAACTTTGGGTTTTATTTTTTTTTTGCCCGGAGAATCTTATCCCCTCTTTATTTATGAAACATGAAGACGCTTTCAAAGTACGATTCGTGCCTCCGCCATTTCTAATTTTTTCTAGGGACAGGATTTTTGGCGATCTTTCGTTAGAATTAAGTCTTTCTTTGTTCAAGCAAAATATTTCTTCCCGATTGGCAAGTGTTTTTCTGAGTAATTTGCTTCTGCAAAGTATTCAATGCTACACCTCCTTTTATTACTCAAATTTTAACTTTACGCTATGCGGTCACACACGTTTATGGGCCGCCTCGACAAAAATGTAGATTCAGACCCGCGGATGTCCGCATCCCATTGGCATCCGCGAAATTTGTTTAAGTTTTATGCGCACCCCCCAGCTTATTTCGGATACGCGCGGATGCTTCGCGGATTATCCACATATATGCAGGGCTCTACACATCATTTTACGTTTAGAGTTGCATGAAGCTGTTACGCTAAAGCGACATCATTAACACCAAAGGCATGCAACATTGCACCGTCTATTTAATGATACTGCATTGTAACAGAACTCTTGCGATAAAGCCAAGTTGAATAAATCACATATTTTTGATATTTCGGAATACAACCTTCTTTATTGCATTTTTGTCTCATTGGGAAGAATGGTTAGACGGTATACTTCCTGGCCATTTTGTAAGTGGAGATTCATTTGACTCTTTCGATTTTTCCCTCATTTTCTACCTTTTATTATCATCCTTTCACCTTGCCACAACATGGCTGCGTTAGTTGTTCAGGAGGCAAGGGATGTAAAAAAATATATATATTCTATGCAGAAATTCCAATTTGTACGTCGGTCTTTAAGCAAGTCAAAAGTTTTGCATCCGCAAACTGTTCATAAAAACTCCGTGTTAGCTTGCACTTGATATATGGCAGTGACAGACAAAGTAAGCTGAAACGACGAGCAATAATCGGAACTGTTATTTTATGCTGAAACAACGCCATAAGTTGAACTCGTAACGACAGAGAGGATACCAACGAGAGCGGGGCTGCCACTGCTACCTGTCTCAGAATTATTTTTAAACATTCAGGGATCACTTGTTTGTGATTGGGTTGCATGTTTTTTGATCGGTTACTATAGCCGGATGCTGCCCTATATTTTTATACGCATGGTCCACATGCAACACGAAGCATTATGCACGCGCATAAACAACACAGAACGATGACAACTTCAAACACAGGCGGTAGCACCACATGCTCACATGGTGGCTAGTTCTCCATCAGGATCAGGGAACGTCAAATGAGACTAGTCACGGCACTTTCGTCCTCATGCTATCTCTTTTTGCCAGTACAACTTCTCATGTCGGGGCTGCCCTGACGGTATCTTTCGGTCGTGGCTCGGTAACTTCGGCTTACCCTTGTCCATGGTTGTAAAAATAAAATACACACAAGCCCGTCCTATGATCAATGAACATTGAGATTTTAGTCAAAGTTAGATTAATTCATTTTATAAAGCATAATATTGTAATATATTTACGTATGGCGTTTTTTTTTACATCCACATTCGGTTGCACATTTCCAACCAATGCCGAAATGAAGATTATAACACAGAAGCTGGCATGCAAGTGCTGCTCGAAACATTAGCTGGACGCCTAATCTTCGCTCCTACAGGGGTGCTCCAGCGATACTTTGAGCTACCTCAACTGAATATATTTTCTGACTCCCAGGCCTTTACTCTTTCCGGTATGCTCATTAGTATCGCGACATTTATAACCGCTGTTGTGAAATTGGCAGACGAAAATGAGGCAAAAACCAATATTCAAATATACCCGCACTTTCAGTGCCGTGACGTCAGTGGCAGGCAGGCTTACCAGTCGAGCTAGCAGTCTAAGAAATAAGATATGCCAATCATTTGTTCCGTGCGGGAGCGGGGGGAGGAGGGACGTCAGCGAACTTTCAAAGCATTCATTTGACATCATCAAACTGCTTCGAATCAGTTGGGAACACATTCTACAGTCTAAACAGTGAACCCCTGCCTTCCACTGACGGGATTTTTTCGTTGTTGCCAGTAGAGACTTTCAGTTTGAAAAAGTCGCTGAGGACCGAAATTGTAAATCTGGTAACTTCGCAAAAAGAAATGTTTTACCTATTATTTAGAATAATATTTAGCGATGTTTGTTGCTGAGTTTAGCGAAATTCATGCAATTCGGGGATCATCGAGAAATCGCCGGAGTTGACCTTAAGAGTTTAATGCAATAGCGTTATCGGGCCCCGTTTTTCATCGCCTTCTCATTCGCCGTGCAAGCGTGCCGCGGTTGAAATCTCGCCTAAAATTCTTCAAATTTTTCCTTAAGGTCAATGTATTAGTTTACAAAGTGAAATCATTTGAGACATGCGGCGACCTGTAATTCGCATTACATGACATGTTTTACCACCTTCATTCCATGCGTGACATCACGTTTTACATGGGCGTTGTGGGCTATAAAAAATTCTTGCGCAAGGTCATCTATCTCTAACCCTATCGACCAATCAGGATTTTCGCGTCATGCCACCAACGCCGGCGCTTCTGCGACACGAGCTCTTTAACGCTGTAGCGTTAAAATATAGGATAGAGGTAACTTACCAGTGAGGTGATTATGTAGTTATGATAATATGTCATCATGTTGACCTCCATGGCCTGTAAAAACATATAGTGACATTATGAAAGATCCGTTCATCCATAATATTTAGGAAATAAAAACAACCCTATTGTGCGTGGAAAAGAACGAAATGAGTCATTTTTCAGATTTTCAGAGATGTGGTATATTTTCAGAAGTGTTGTAATTTAGGCGGGTTGGTATGATGACACGGTGAACGGAACAAGGCACACAAAGAGGAGGACAAAGAAAAGGAAAATGTTGAACTTCACCAGCGTTGACTCGCAACTGAATTTATACACAAAAGGAAGAAGCAGAAGACGCAGGGCACGCAGTGCGTGTCGCGCGCACTGCGCGCCCTGCGTGTTTTTCAGAACGTCCTCTTCTTCTTCCTTTTGTGTGTAAATTCAGTTGCTAGTCAGCGCTTGTGTGTCGTGCATGTTCCTTTTCTCTGTCCTTGTGTTTTTGTGCGCTGTTCTGTTCCCCTTGTATATTTTCTTACCACAAGACTATATAAAAACACCCGTGTGTTTAATTTGTTAAAGAGGCGTCTTAGAGCTCGTGTAAAAAGTAATCAGTGCCGACTACGGAGGGGATCAACATATGAATTTATTAAAACATGATTTACTCCTAGAAATGATCTACCATGCGATATTGAACATGACGCAAATAAACACAATGCAGAGTTAAGCTTGCGGACTTCATTTTTGACCCATACTTCGCCTCTGCTACAAGGGGAAAGAAGGACACTGACAAAAAAAAAATAGTTGGTTTGGTTGCGGTAATAGATAGAGGAGAAAAGAACAGCGGAAGAAAGCTCTGATATTGGTGCTGGCGGCGGCCACTCTACAATATGTTTTGAACCGTCGTTCGGAGAGTGGCTCCTTTAGTGCATGGTACAAACAAATGAATTATCTAAAAACATTGTTTTTCCCTTAATCTTCATTTAATCGTTTCTTATGTCGGTGACTCTATTTCGCCCTTCTGCAAGTCTTCCCCAAAGTACACTTGTCCAGCACTTTTTATCCAGGCTCAAAATGGAGAGTAACTATGCTGTGAAAGCATAGATGGCGTCTGATATTTGTCAGAAGACAGCAACTGGGTATTCTCAGAACTCATTTCACAGCCCGGTAGAAAGCAAATAGTAACTACCAGAAGACAGCTATTGGGATGGTTTCCATGGAACTGTATGATATTGATGTATTTCTAATGTTTTCATTCACAGTGTTAGCTCTGTAGCTTGCATTCATTGGTTCTCCGAGTACGCTGACAAAACGTAGTTGAGTCCATCTTTCGAGTATTATCCCGGCAAATCTGTCATCGCGTGCATTATATCAATCCAAAACGCGATCGCTTTTTCTAACAAAGCAAACTTCGAGCTTCAAACAAACTTACACAAAACTATAAAATATTCATCAGAAAATCGCTTACCTGTCGAAACAACAAAGGTAGAGACTCTGTTTTGACATCCAGTATAATGTTGAATTGTTTCTGGTAGCCAATATCTTTGAGCATCTTTTTAAACGAAAGTTTTGGGTTGACTTGAACCAAAGAGACGCTGTGGTTTTGTGCAAGGGAGCTGTTTATAACGTCCTTGAGCAGTATTAAACCTGAAAATGTATATAATTAGCAATAACGAAACGGCCAGCAGTGATAACGCAAGTTGAGGGCGCGGATCTCTCGACCAACATAATCGGCACGACTTGAAAATTTAGAATTTCAAACGTACGTACTTGGAATTGGACACGCCGAACGTAGTTTCGAAAATAGATTCACGTATATTTTAAAAGCTTAATACTGAGGTAGCGATATATTAAAAATAAAGCGAGATCATGAGGCAGTGTGTTTCATATTGCCTACACCAGCCTGTTTTCCGACTGCACACGGGTTCATGCACTCGTTCCCGAGTGGCTAGATTAACTTGTATCTGGCATGTTTATGACCTTTCTTTGGCTCACCACAAAAGTTTCAAATTTCTCTAATTGAGCTATAGATACGAAGTATAAGACGAAGAACCAGCTGCAAAGCCAAAATCTGCAATTAAAGAGCAATTTGATCCCAAAGATATCACACGAAAACTGATGAACCTCAGTGAAACCCAATGATGGCACTTATCTGTTGATTTAGACATAAAGATGCCACATTGCAGCCAAACTACCAATAGTAAAACCTTTTTTTTTATTTCTGCCGATTTCGGTCCAAGGCGACGAAAGCCTCACCAAAACAGACAAAGTTTGGTTATACCTTGCCATCACCAGGATTTTCAAAGCCCTTAATTTCAAGGCAGAAATACAAGTGTTCACCTACATTACTATGCTACCTGAGAAGTATGATCCGTACAATTCCTGGAAATTACACTGCCCTCAAAATCTACGTTAAAACCTATTTTACGGTTTCAAATCAAGTATCAATATCTTACCTACAAATTGGCATGTAAAATCATAAAATCAACTCTAGTCATGCAAAACCCGTGAAATAACTGTTTATCAGACAATATTTCTGTCTTAAGTTCCATCATTTGCATGCGCTCCCAACCTACAGCATTAAAAGGTTGTATAGGGTTATGACTGAAATAAGTCAAAAGGTGCTATGTCTATCAAGTCATTCATTATCACAAGCCAATACACCGAAATGTAAGCTCGTGTGTATAGTAGAATCTACTAACAATGATGCAATACGCAGATAGTTATACATTATTCAAAGTGTCGCCGTGTTTAATGCTTTCATGGTCTACAAAATGGCCAAAAAACAAGTTCCAAATTTTTATCTGTGCTCAGCATAAACAAGCTTAGAAATGCAATGTTAATCAAAGATGAAGCTCATCTTAAGCGAAACAATTTTAAAAGTTGATGCCTTACGTTACCAGTCACAAGGAGTTCACAAATGAATAATGTTTAATGAAGTAAGCAATTCATTGCAAGAACATTTTAAAGTACTTTCATAGTCGAATTTTTAAAAAGAAATGTGCCAACTGGGAATCATTTATCGTTCCGATAGACATGTTGATGCTTTAAACAATAAATGATAAAACCCTGCTACGTGATTGAACTTTTGTCTAGAGTTGTAATGCGCTGTTTTGCGTTTCTAAAGAATGCGAAAACGTCATCCAGTCCAGAAGGAAATATTTGTAAATTGACTGCATTGTTTTATGCATGTCAAGTCCTCACTGTCTTGGTGTTCGTAAAGCACGGTGAAGCTTTTCCATTTCTTGTTGATGATTAGGTCAAGGTAGGCTTTCCCGAACACCTCTGGGTCCGGGAATAGGTTCAGGGTATAAGGATTCCTGTTGGACTTGGGTTCCCACGACGTTTGCAGATGCGGCACATTCAGGTTGGTACAAGCTGACTTGGTGAATGACGTCACAGCTTCCGATGTGGGTCCTATGATGGCACTAACTCTCTGCTTAAAGAATGTGCAGACTGCAAAATAGAAACAATTTCACCTATAGGCTTTGCACTCAATTTTAAATTAATCTTAATAATTCATAAGGAAGGAGTCAGTTGGAAATTTATGAAAATTCACATCAAATCGTTTCTTTTTTTTTATTCTGAATGTCTGCTTTCCTAAATAAGTAAAGATCTAAATGACTGCTTTGTCGCATTGCTCTTTTCTTAGCTGGGGTAAGAGGGTCACCTTCATACGCTTACTTTATCAAGTGCGTAGAAAAAATCGTGGTGATCTTCTAAATCTGAGCAATCGGCATTTATTGACAAAGCATAAGGCCTGCATCTAAGAAAGTTAAGGAAAACGCCTTTATTTCAAAGAATAATGAATGCGGTTATCCAAAATTTCAGGAACAAAAACGAGGGAAGCGTTTCGTGGGTATGTTTCATATTTATTCGCCGCTGTTCTTTAAAAGCAACTCATATTGTCATATTTGTTCTTTATAATGTGATTATAATAATATTCCGTACCATTTGTCAAAAGTTTATTGAGTTTGATCTATGAGAGGTTCAGAAAATCGGGTAATGTTCGAAAATTAAGAGGTTGCTAGCTAACAACGAACATTTTTCTATTTAGAACGACAAACTAATTTCAACAAAAAGAAAAAAAAAGGAGCCAATAATTGTAGCCCTCGCAAAATACGCAGAAACTCTTTTTATCCGAGTGCGCAACAAAGTTTACCTAGCGTTTAAAGGGTGTGAATAAAACATATATTTGAAGATTGTCGTACAGACATATTTAACCGAAGATTCGAAGGCGTTTGACGATTCGACGGAGAGGTCCTATAAATCAGGAGCAGAATGAATTGGAAGCGAAAACACATACGCCCCCCTCCCTCTTACAAAATGGCTGATTTCTCTAAAAGGTCTATGATTTGATGGGCGGCTACGCAACGATGGATTTGTTATTTTACGAACATCAACGCCTGTCCCAGAGACCACGGGTGTCACGTTACCGGAAACAGTTTTTCATCGATTGAGCACCGTTAAAAATTATTTAATGCCGAAACAGAAAGCCATTATTTAAAAAAAAATGTTTGGTGCTTGTTAAAGTGCAAACAAATCTATGCAATTCAAGTAAAGGAATTTTCTGTTCACTTAAATTAATTGTCTAGTTAACTTAAATGAATTCTCTGTTCATTCCATTAAACATGAAATAATTATTACCTGGTACTGATATTGTTTGGTTACTCTGTTTAGGCGCTCTTGATGTTGGGTTGGTAGATATTACTTTCTGCATATTCTCACGAAGGACAAATGATGACGATACGAATAACTGAAGAAACTAAGCGTTTAATGGGGCGAACGTCTGCCCAAAACAAGAATAGAGAAAGGCTAGCGTCGCAGGCGTCGATGGCGGCGAAACAGAAGGATCGAGCGCTGGGGCGAGACTGACATCGGCTTGCCACGCGGAGTGCCTTTTGTAGCCGCGTGGGTTTCCGGAACATTCGACCTAGAGCGTTCGGCGCGTTGAACGTGCGGGCCGCGACCAAGCAAGAGGATTCCCGAATTTACCATAACATTAAATTCTAAGAATAAATAAGAAACGGGTCACTCCCAGGAATGGGACCCGAGCTCTTCGCGTGGAAGGCAAGCACGATAACCATTCAGCCGCGGCCGCGCTGCCTGCTTCGCCAGCTGCGCGCGCTTTATTACTCCACCTTTTAAAAAGCGCATCGCCCCGATGGAACCCAAAACAAAGCAAATAACAGGAGCGGTAAAATAAAGAGTCATTTGGAACACATAAGGTCCATGGTCCTATCGAGCGCAGTACCGTTTTAGGCGCACGACGTGGACGTCTTCAGGCCGTGGTGGACGGCGTGATGACGTTCTTGTTCCGTCGGGCATCACCTCGTAGTTCAGATCTCCAAGTCGACGAAGTACTTTGCAGTGTCCGAAGTACCCCTTTAAGAGTTTCTCGCTCAGACCACGGCGGCGAATCGGTGTCCGGATGCACACCATGGCTCCGGGATGGAAGTGGACGTCCCGACGACGAAGGTTGTAGCAACCAGTGTCGACACGTTATTGGGCTTGAATCTGGAGTCTGGCGAGCTGACGGACTTCCTCTGCCCGTTGGGTAACCACCTGGGCGTCGTCGCTTCCGTCGACAGACGGTTTGTGGGGTAACATCGCTCCCAGAATTCTCGTTACTTTGCGACCAGGAACCAGTTGAACGAGTGTAACCCCGGCGGTCTCCTGCACAGCCGTGTTCTAGGCAAATGTGAAGTACGGCAACACTTCGTCCGCTGTCTTGTGGTTCACGTCGGCGTACACAGAGATCATGTCGGTGATGGTCTTGTTGAGTCTTTCCGTCAGCCCGTTTGTGTGCGGGTGGTACGCCGTGGTGCGAAGATGGCTGGTGTGGCTGAAACGAAAGACTTCTTGCGTCAGCTGGGCCATGAACGAGGATCCACGGTCTGAGATCAGGACTTCGGGGACGCGGTGCCGGAGGACAATGGAGTCGATAAAAAAACATGGCGAGTTCAACAGCCCTTCCTGATGGAAGGGCTTCTGTCTCGGCGTACCGTGCGAGATAATCGGTTGCGACGATTATCTATCGGCTTACTTACGTCGATGGTAGGAATAGCCCAATTAAATCCACTCCGATTTGCTGGGATGGGGCAAATGGCGGCGCAATAGGCTAAAGAAGTCCTGCCGGTCTCGTCTGTGGTTTTTTTCCGTCGTTGACACTCGTGGCAAGACTGGGTGTAGTGGTGCACTCTCTTCGCAAGCTTGGGCCAGTACTATTTTTCGCGTATCTTGGCAATAGTCCTGCTGTAGCCAAGGTGCACCGCCGTCGGGTTACCGGGGAAGGCTTGAAATTGAAAAATTTTTTCTCGAAAGACTCTAAGGGTTCCCCAACAACCACGCAGTGTTGTCGTCGCTGAAATTCTCCTTGTAGAACACACCTTGTCGGACGGAAAAGTTTGGCAGTGTTCGCATAAAACGGCGAGGAACGGCGCGTCCATGTCCCTCTAGGTGCTCGATGAGTGCTCGCAGCTCAAGGGCGTCTCGTTCATGTGCTGCCATGTCGCTGACATCCAGAGCGCCGAGGAGACGCTCATCGTCGTCCACTTTGGCGCAGGCAGGACCGGCCTCGACTGGCGCCCCTCACAGTGAGTCGGCGTCATTGTGCTTCAGGCCGGACTTGTACACCACGGTCATGTCGAACTTCTGCAGTCGTAGGCTTCACCGGGCTAGGCGTCTGGAGGGGTCCTTCGATTCGCCAGCCAGCAGAGCGAGTGGTGGTCCGACACCACGCGTAAAGGACTTCCATACAAATAGGAGCGAAACTTTGTTATTGCCCAGACGACTGCGAGGCACTTCTTTCCCGTCGTTGTGTAGTTCGTGTCTGCCTTGGACAGCTCCCGACTCGCGAATGCGATAACTCGCTCCGCCCCGTCCTGCATTTGGACTAGTAGGGCACCCAGTCCGGTGCTACTGGCGTCGGGGTGGATCTCTCTTTCAGCAATCTGGTCGAAATGGCCAAGAATCGGGTCGTCTGAAGTCTTTGTTTGAGCTCGTCGAATTACCGTTGGTGTTCCTCTGTCCACCCGAACTTTACGGCATCCTTTGTGAGGTGCGTCAGCGGTGCGGACAGCTTGGCGAAATCTCGAACAAAGCGCCCGTAGTAGGCAGATTCCGAGAACTTTTCTCACGGACTTGTCATACGGCGGCGTAAATGCAGCTACGGCACAGGTCTTCTCGGGGTAAGGAAGAACACCTTTTTTGTTCACGACGTGACCAAGGAACTTTAGTTCCCAATAGGCGAACTACACTTTATTGGCTTGACCTACAAGCCGGCGGTCTTGATGGCATGAAGCAGGCCTCGAAGTAGTCTCAGGTGTTCATCGAAGTCTCGTGAAAATATCCCTACATCGTTTAGGTAGACGAGGCAGCTATGTCATTTCAGATATGCCAGCATGGTGTCCATGACACGCTGGAAGCTGGCTGGTGCAGTACAAAGTCCGAAAGGTATCACTCTGAACTCAAACAGTCCGTCGGGAGTGACGAAGGCAGTTTTCTCGCGGTCGCGTTCGTCAACTTCAATCTGCCAGTAGACACTCTTCAGGTCTATCGACAAAAAATATCGCGAGGGAAGCAGCCGCTCTAACATATCGTCGATGTGGGGAAGCGGATAAACGTCCTTCTTAATCACAGCGTTCAGTAGACGATAGTCTACGCAGAACCTCAGCGTTCCGCCCTTCTTTTTTGAAAGGACGACTGGGGACCCCCACGGACTTCTTGAAGGTTGAATGATGTCGTCGTCGAGCATATATTGTACTTGACCTTGAATAACTTCCTATCCTTTAAGGAGACTAGGTACGGCAACTGGTCGACAGGGAGCGTGCAGTCGTCGGTAGCAATACGTTGTTTCGCCATTGGTGTTTGGCGAACTTTCGACGACGTGGCAAAACAGTCACTGTATTCAGCGAGGAGATAAACCAGTTGCCAGCGCTTTGGAGCTGGGTGCTCAGGGTCGATATCGCGCTACGGCGGCAACGTGCTCTTCCGCTGTGATGACGAGGTTTTCTCAGAGATTGCGGTGACGACGGCCGGCGCCTGAAGCTCTTCGTCGTGGCCCACGGTGGTACCTTTCGTTAGGTGCTGTGGCTCCTCTCGAAAGTTGCCCAAGCAGCACAGAGTTGGCGAGTCACCGGCCAATGGCTGGCAATGGTCCTTGGCCAAGTGGCCAGACAGTGGCCAGAAACTGGCCGGTGACTGGCCTTTATCTGGCCATTTACCACTGGCCATTAGCCATCGGCCAAGCATTGGCCAGTGAATGGCCACTCTCTGGCCACTGGTTAGAAGACTATTGCCAGACATTGGCTATTGCTTGGCCAAAATCCGTGCTGCTTGGGTGGTCACCAGAACAGTCGTACGTCCTTCTCGGAGATCCGTTACGCCTCGTGCGACGCCAATTCCTTTTTCAAGGAGCACGTGGACGCTGCTTTCCAGAAAAGCTTCAGCGTGCA